TCGGAGGAGGGCTTTCTCAGCGGTGGCGCCTAAGTTATGGAATGTGCTCCCCAGAGAGGTCCGCCTGGCGCCGTAGTTATTTGTTTTTCGGCGCCAGGCGAAGACCTTTTTATTTAAGCAGCATTTTAAATGTTAATATTATTGAATTTTATTTGGCCAGGGCGGCTTATTTTATTTTACTGTATATATTTTAATTGTTATTGTTTTAATGTATTTTGTATTTTATTTGATGTTGTAAGCCGCCCTGAGGCCTCGGCAAGGGGCAGCATAGAAATGTTTTAATAAATAAATAAATAAATAAATGTAATGGAACTGTACGGAATTATGTGAAGTAGGTGGACGGAAAGACTGTACCCCCTTAGTACCTTGTCCAATGAGGGAATGGGGGGGGGCTATAGAGACTGAGTTAGGGTACAAAAGGGGATGATTTGTGTGTTTGTGCTTTGGAGAGATTCTGATAGAGTGGGCTGTCCCCGTGTATTGCAATAAACGAAGGAATCGCCTCACTCTGATGATAGTCTTGTTTGTTTAACTTGAGAAGTATTTTTGCAGCCTTTTTTGTATAACAGTAATTAGTTCCCTTGTTGTACTGTTCTAACAGTCAAGAAGATCTTCCTAATGTTCAGCCAGAACCTGGCTTCCTATAACTTCAGCCCATTATTCCATGCCCTGCACTCTGGAATGAGTGAGAAGAGATGCTGTCCTCCTGCTTTGTGACAACCTTTCAAGTACTTAAAGAGTCCTATCCTTTCTCCCCTCAGTCTTCTCTTCTCAAGGCTAAACATGCCCAGTTCTTTCAGTCTTTTAATTTAATACATTATTTTTAACATTTATAATGTGTTTTATTTTGTCTATTTATTACACTATTTAATTGTATTATTTTATTAATGTTATTATTGGTATTTTATTGCAATGGCTACCCAGAGAGCATTGTTCTAATATGTGGCTTTTATACAAATTTAATAAATAAATAGATAGATACTTAGTCTCTCCTCATGAGGCTTTGTTTCCAGTCCCTGGATTATCCTTGTTGCCCTCCTCTAAACCCTTTCCAGATTGTCTGCATCTTTCTTAAACTGTGGTGCCCAGGACTGGACTTACAGTAGTACTCAGATGAGCCCCAATCAGAGCTAAGTAAAGAGAGTGGGTGCATCTTAGTCGGATGTCTAGTTTGACCATACTACCTTGGCAGGGCATGGAGGCGGGGGAGAGAATCTGGCCTCCTGGCAGAATTGCTTTCAGCTTCTCTAACACTCTCAAACTCCCTTACCACATTAAGGTGTGCATCCCAGAGGGGGAAATTAATTATGTCCACACACACACATGTGTGCGCGATGGAAGAATTTGTTAAGTCAACATTTTGCAATGACTTCAAGACTTGTTATTTTAAAGTGACCTCCTTACAAGTCAGGGAGCATCAGTTTCTAAAGCAAGCTTTCCCTGGCTTGTTAAAAAGCTCATAGTATTATTTATTAACATTTGTGTTTCATATATGAAGTATAGCCAAGTGATGTTATTTATTTTGTGTGTGTGTGTTGCATGACAGATTGCAGTTGCTGTGTAGGTAACTTTCTTGGCTCTTAAACATCCAGATTAGGAATTGGCACAGTTCACTGATTGTCTGTAGTTCTGTTACACTTTTATTCACGAAGGTGCAGGGTTTATCTTGCTTTCTCATTCTAGAATGGCTTTTTTGTGTTGCTGACATTTATGGAAATGCAAATGGTAAAAGGAAGCTGCAATGAGAACACCATGTTGCTTCTTAATTAGAAGTGATAGGTGGATGGAGCAATGTCCAATATGGATTATAAATTTTCCTTTTCACTTTAGGTGTCGTGGTATTGTTGAAAGTGTTAAAGAGCCACAGAATGCAAAATGTTATGTTAAACCTGGAAAGAAATTAATATAGCAGGAAATTATAAATTTAATTTTATGTATTCAATTAAAATTGTATGGATTTTTTTTTCTGGTTGCAGTGATACTTGACTCTACCAGTCACAGGGATGTATCAAATGGATTCCATGGAGTGTTAGTCTAATTTAAATTGCATTAATGTCAATGAATTTACTGTATATAGGACTAACACTGGATGTGACTGTATGTGCAATTCCATTTATTTACTGAAATGTATGCCCCACTGAGTTTAAATGTTTATGCATATTTACAGTAAACTGATTTCCAATGAATTCAATAGGGCTTATTCCCAGGTATATGAGTCTAAGATTGCAGCCTTGGCATGTGTTCTCTACATAGTGAAAATGACTCATTTACGCTACAAAACATGCTATTTTAGGATTAGAATGAACATTGTGTATTTATTGTAAATAAAAAGTAGTGCCTGCCAGCTGGGTTTTATTTATTTTATCTTAATAGAGGCACCATGTTCTATCCTTTTTTTATTTTGTGAAAGTGAACTTGCTTGATAAATATCAGTTGTGAATTTCATTTTAGCATCTCTGTTTTGACTTTGAAGTCAGGTTTCATATTATCTTGTGTCCTCTACTTCTTCTAATAGCAAGTTAGAGGTTAAAATCAGTAAATCATAGGAATAGATATGGTCTAGTGGACAAGATTCATGACATTAATTTAATTATCCTTTTTCTTCCATGGCTGAACTACTGTATGTAGAAAGAAGCTCAGTAAGAGAATGGTGGGTTTTTTCCCTACTTACAAGGTGCAAATCTAGTGCTATCAGGAATAGTGGCATTAAGATAGTGAATTTTTGAGCAGCAACTTCTTAGATACTTTACCTAAGATACTTGGGATATTTTTCTGAATTCATGCTTTATCACTTGAAAGAAATGTATCAGTGTAAATTTGTAAATGAGTTGTCTGTGAGTGTTCGGTCAATCCATGGAATTTATTGGACAACTCAATATAGGCCTGTGAGAAGGGGAGTAGATGAATATGGTGGTACAATGTGGTAGCTTGTCTTTCCTATGCACATTCTTTATAATGTATATAGGGCAATTTTTCTGTATACTTGGGGCTCTGACACGCATAATGAATGCATCTTCATCATCGATTTCATTTCTGTACCACCCTACAGTCAAAGCTGTCTGGGTGGTTTCACAGCCCATAAAATACGAAAATAATAATAATAAAAATCTAAAAAAAATAAAAAAGTTAAAAATAGCTAAAAACCGATGGTGAAGCATGTAATACAGAAATAGTACAAAGAATGACAAGAACAACCATGTAGACACCTGGCAATCCCCCATAAGCCCCTTTCTTCATTGGCATCAATTGAATGGGGAGGAGGATTTTAAGGAAAAATGGTATGGAGAAATATTTAATTTGCCCCTCCTAGGAGCAAATTAGGAGCATGGAGCTCCTCATCTGAATCAGGGCCATGCACACAATTGCATATATGCATTTAGCAAGTAGTTCCTCCGTTGTGTGTTGGCATAGCCAACCCCTTCAAGCAATCCTTACAGGACTTGGTTTACAGACCCCCAGTTGCTTGTCTCTGGGCATGTTCCAGTTTGTGAGTGTTGTTTGCAATTTCTATACAAGGGGAAAGACTCAGTAGGGCTTCTGTTGCCTCTTAATGCTAGGTAAATAGACCCAACCCTAAGAGACAAAGGTGAAGAGGATACTGGAATGGGTATTTTTTAAAAGCAAAAAACAAAAGAAAAATCCTCTTAGTCCCCTCCCCCTTTGGTGTACTTACAAGATAAGCCTTAGTATGTCTCATTGACAAAATGTTTTTAGCTGGGCTATTTATTCATTATTTTATTTATTTCATTCTACTTCTATGCCCCTCCATAACCTGAGAGTTCTCTGAGTGGCTTATAAATGCTGAAACCACCATATAAATGCAATCAATAAAACAGATAAAAACAATAAAATTAATAAATTGTAAAAACATTTCATACCATACATCATGACTAAATACAACAGATAAATTAATATCCAATGTTAAATAAACAACAAAATACAGTTTAAAATGTGAACAAACAAGTTTTTACTTGGCATCTAAAAGAGAGAAGAGTCAATGCCAGCCATATGTCTCTATGGAGCGAATTCTAGGGTCTTGGCGCCTCTAGAAAAAATTCCTCTGCCTAACCATTTCCCCCTTGATCTCATGGGGGGGGTGGTATTTGGAGGAGGACCCCCCAATGAGAGAAAGATCCAAGTGGGATGGAGAGAACTGAGAGAATGGAGAGAAGGTAGAGATGGAGAGAAATGCTCCTTCAGGTATCTGGTCCCAAGCTATTTAGGGCTTAATATGACAAAGACAACTGCTTGAATTGGGCTCAGACTAGAATAGGAAGCCAATGTGGCTGAGCAAGGACCTCCACAAATACTTCTCTCTCAAAAATGTGTAAAACAAAGTACAGCCAGCCTTCCACATTCATGGTGCTTAGGGGGGCAGGACCTCTGTAAAAGTGGAAACAGCACCAATATTTCTAGCCCCCTCCCCTGAAAACTTAACTCTTAATGCTGTTGACTGCATGTGGACTGGATTGCATCTCCCTCTCTCTTTCAGATCTTGGTCTGATACAGTTGGGCTCCCCTTCTTAATTTATTACATGCTTATGCTTTTAGTCCCCACCCTCCCTTTTACTCACCAGCGCTGCCTTTTTGCACCAAGGAACTGCTGGAGAGATTTTCCTTTCCGGATGAGTGGGGCCAGAAGACATTCTTTGGAGTCCATCCTCTCTCCCCTTTTGCTTCCTCTTTCTCTATGGTGATGACAATTTTCCACAGTAGGCTGCAAGATTTCAGGAAAAAAAATCCCATTTAATTATTGATGATGAACTCATGAATAATCAAATCCACGAAAGTAAAGATTTGACTGTAGTTATCATAAAGAATGTCACTTTCACACAGGGAAGCTGGACTTGAGCAGAATACTTTCTGAAAGCTTTTGTTAGTCCTTTTGTGTTAGAAATGTCTTTTCCCTTCCAGTATACTAAAGGCTATTTGATATTCATATATTCAAGTATAGACAGATATTAAGATCACAGACTTGAAATATAATGTGCTTTCCCTAGGTAACAAGGGAAAAAATTCATGGGATGGGTACGGAGGCAAAGGAACACGTCTATGAAATAAGACTATTTCACTAGTTCTAAATAAAGTGAGTTTACCAAATTTTATTCGGATTACCAAAGACCTTGTATATCATCTTCCCTTCAGCCTGGCTGCTCCAACCCTCTGCCCATACCTTCTCAATGGAGGTATTGTAAGTGTGAGTGAGAGACAGGTGTGTGTGGTTGTCTCTGTGACAATGTCCTGTGCATTTTACATGTGGCTCAGCTTGTGTTTATCCAGGAGCACAGTTGGCTGGAGGGGCCCCAGACAAGTACCTTTCCTGACTGATGACCCCCACTGACTAACCTTCCAGCCTGACTTTTAAAAAGAACAGCAGCTTGATGGTAGCAGTGGTGATTATTATTTACTTATACCCATGTTAAAGCTTTTTTGGTAATAATTATTACTGTGTCAAAATTGTAGTTATAAAATTGATAGAAATAATTATGACATTTTGTGAAATTTCCCTCGTTTATGTGATTTTTGTGTAGGGTCACTTATCTTTTTTTTCATGTTACTTTTTCTTTAGTCCCCCCCTTATCTATAAAAATTAAAATTAAAAGTATGTTGCTTTTTCCTTGCTTGACTACCAGCGCTCTGAACCAATCAAATGCTGCTTTTGGATGATCTCAGTGAGTGAAAGCACAGAAGAAGTAAAAGAGCACACCTGTGACTTCACTGGTTATACTTCCCAAAGGCAGTGTGATTTGTTCAGATAGTTGCTACCAATATAAGTAAAAAGGAAGGGTCTTCAAAAAAGGCCTACCAGTGTAGCTTGTCTGGCTGGCTGCTGCTGTGCTTTGCTTGTGTGGCAGCCAGCTGCCACCTTCTTAAGCCCAGAATTAGGGTGTTGCCTGGGAGCCTTCTAGGCCTTGGAGTGCCATACTTGTGCCATGCCACTGTTTTTATTTCCATTCTGCCTAGCGCAGGTATGCAGCCCCTGACAGCTCCCAGACAGATGTGGCCCTCAGGTTAAAACATTTCTTCTGCAGTAGAGGGTATGCAAAGAATTGTATATGATTGGTAAGAATAAGAGTTTGTGTGATCCTTTTGACCAAAAATAGTGCAGACTTGAGCAATTCAGCAGCTACATTTTCCCCCTGTTGCTTTAAGTTATTATTTTCCCTCTCCTTCTGGCACAGTGGTAGTTTGGGGTTCACTGTTCATTGTTCTCCATTGTTTGCTGTTTGTAACTTATTTTTCAAAGTTTCTACTTCAAAACGTGGTGTGCTACAAAAAACACACACTTGGAAGTGTCTTCTCTTATTTTCCAGTCTCTTTCCCAATGATTGAATCTTCTATTCCTTTTAAGTATTTACCTCTGAACATGACAGAGGAGAGGGGACTGCACCCTGTACCCCTGCTCCTGATATTGCATGTTGTGGCTAGGTGGAAGAGAGCAGTTAGGAATGATAGGACAGACAGTTAGTGGTTGGTGTATGGTATGTGCTCGTAAAAGATGTACTAAGAAAAAGCTCAGTGGAAGTGACTGGCGGAGGCCTGAACATTCAGCTGTTTCTTCTCTGTGTGATAACTATGCAATGTTGGCAAAGAAGAGGAGAAGCAAGCAGCAAGGAGGTTGCCCTACGATCTTGCCAGAAGAAGGTTATGAGAGCAGGCATTACACACCAGTTGAAAGGTCCAAATGCCCATAAATACAAAAGGAGAAGCATTGGGAGTCAGAGGAAGACTTTATCCAAGAACTGGATATGGTTGCAGGTTTATTTGGCTGAAGTGAAAGTTTAGGGTGTTTGACCCAAGGTAAAAAATAATTTAAGCACAATAGCTTTACATTGTTTTATTGTAAAGCTTGATATTTAAATGATATAGGAATGAATGAATGAATGAATGAATGAATGCATACTTAGATAGGAAAAGTCCTACGATTCACACTATGTACCAGCTAGCCATATCGTCTCAGTATGCATAGGACTGGCTCTGAGAAGCTTCTATTTGCCACAGTATCTTCAGTCCTTAAGAAGTGGCAGTAAGCATTGTCTGAAGACGCTAAAGTAAATAGTAGTTTTATTTTATGCACAAAATGCCCTTTAATAATGGATTTTGTCTCTAGTGGTGGTGCCCATCTCACATCTATGCATCTTATACCAAGCTACCAGGAGGGTTTAAGAAAGCAGATGGTAGTGGAAAAAGGTCAGCTTATGGAACTCTGAATTATACTGGCAGGGAAATATAAGCATTTAATTAAAAAAGCAAAGCAAGCTGTAGGTGAGATTGTGCTCTTCGTATGTGGTGACTAATGGTTGGGTTGCCCCGTGAAGATGCATAATCCACATAGCCTTTTGGACAAGTACGTCCTACCACCTGCCTATTGGACCCTTGCCCTTCTTGGCTACTTAACAATGCCAAGTGCGGGATAGGGACCTGGATCCTGGAGGCTGTCAATGCCTCTCTGAGGGATGGCTGGGTACCTGCCCCTTTAAAGGAGGCAGTAGTCCGACCAGTCCTAAAGAAGGCATCCCTGGATCCAGAGATGGCCACCAATTATAGACTGGTGGCCAACATCCCGTTTTTGGGCAAGGTGTTGGAGTAGGTGGTGGTGGGACAACTCCAAGCACTCTTGGATGAAACTGATTATCTGGACCCATTTCAGTCCGGCTTCAGACCCGAGTACAGTACTGAATCTGCTTTGGTTGCCCTGTATGATGGCCTGTGCAGGGAAAGAGACAGGGGAAGTGCATCCCTGTTGGTCCTCCTGGACCTCTCAGCGGCTTTCGATACCATCGACCATGGTGTCCTTCTGGATAGGCTAGCGGGATTGGGGGTTGGAGACACTGCTTTGCAGTGGTTCCGCTCCTGTCTCAATGGCCGATTCCAGAAGGTGGTGCTGGGGGACTGTGTCTCTGCACCATGGCAGCTATGCCATGGAGTACCGCAGGGGTCCATTTTGTCCCCCTTGCTATTGAATATCTACATGAAACCGCTGGGACAGGTCATTAGGAGGTGTGGGCTATGGAATCATCAGTACGCTGATGATACCCAGCTTTACCTCTCTTATTCAACCAATCCAGGTGAGGCAGTGGCTGTGCTGAACCGGTGCCTGGCCGAGGTAATGGGCTGGATGAGGGCCAATAAACTGAAGCTCAATCCAGACAAGACGGAGGTCTTGTTGGTAGGCGGGTCAGGCTTTGGGGAAAGGGACCTGGACCTTTTCCTGAATGGGGTTGCACTCCCTCTTAGGGGAATGCTTGGGAATGCTCCTCGATCCAGAGCTTTCGCTTGAAGCTCAGGTAACAGTGGTGGTGAGGAGCGCCTTCTTTCAGCTTCAGCTGATTCTCCAGCTGTGTCCCTGCCTGGCAACAGTGACACATGCATTGGTAACTTCCTGACTAGACTTCTGTAACGCGCTCTACATGGGGCTGCCCTTGAAGATGGTCCGGATACTTCAGTTGGTACAAAATAGAGCTGCCAGGCTGCTGATGGGGACTGGGCATTGTGCTCACATGACTCCAGTCCTCTGTCAGCTTCACTGGCTCCCCACTGAAGTCCAGGCCCAATCCAAGGTGTTGGTTATCACCTATAAAGCCCTTAATGGCTTGGGACCTGGTTAACTAAAGGAGCGCTTAGGTCCATACGTGCCCTCCCACCCCTTGAGATCGGCGGCAGAGGCCCTTCTCTGGGAGCCCTATTAGGAGGGTGAGTACCTGGAGGAGGGCTTTCTCTGCGGTGGTGCCCAACCTATGGAATGCGCTCCCCAGAGAGGTCCAACTGCAATCGTTGCCATCTCCTCACTCGGGGTGGGGTGGGGAGATGGCTGCAATTATGCTGGTTGCTGGGGGGGGGGGATGGCCAAGATTGCTCCCGTCTTTCCTGCAGGAGTGTGCCTATGTCAGGATTTCTTTGAGAAGCACCGCCCCAACATAACTGTAAACAAACCGAGTGTTGAATCTGATGAACGATAACGTGGTCTCTCATTTCCGGGGGGTCATGCAGTGCAGGAAAAAACAAGTGACTATAGACAGATTTTTCACCAAAATTGACCCTGCAGCTAAGAGACAATGAAGAGAGGAAACCCCTGAAAGAGATCTCCCCTGTGTCCTTATGGAGGGGGACTCTCACTCAAAACAATAACGTCCCCCCCCAAACCTAGGTTAGTGTTTTCAACTGTACTGTACTGTACTTTGTTACTTTGTTGTTCTTTGTCACTTTGTTTCAATTTTTTCGGATAAAAAACAGTTACAGAACGGATTAACCTTATTTACATTGAACCTTATGGGGAAATTTGACTTGGCTCGCGACCAAAAATTGGCTCACAACCACATTAGGAGGGGCCAGAACGGATTAACCTTATTTACATTGAACCTTATGGGGAAATTTGACTTGGGTCACAACCAATTTGGGTCACAACCAGAGTCGTGGAATGGATTAAGTTTGTGAGCTTACCACTGGTTCAAGTTCAAAGTACCACAGTAAGTGCGTGCTATTTAGCCTTTAGCAACTTGTAGGGAGTTCTTATATAGCCACTTCTCTTTTTATGCATCGTCAGTCTAAGTCACTTCAGATAACTTTAGAAGAGTCCTGGATCAAGATAAAACCCTATCTGATTGAACCCTAACCATATTTCCCACAGCAGGAAAAAAGATGTTGCTTTAGGAAGTTCACAAATAGGACATGAAGGCAATGTCCTACTCGTGCCGCTGCTCTTTGTCAATTGATATACCATAAAATGAAATGAAGTGACAACATCTCAGGCTTCTGAGCAAAGCGTCATTCCTTGGAGTAGCACAATGTGTTTCAAACTTGTACAATATAAATGGGCCATGGAGAAGGCTTATTTATACTGTCACGGAGCAAAATAGGCTGGGATAGTCTAAGGAATGAAGCTACATAGCAGGGGTGGCAGGACTTGCTCAGATGAAAAGCCACATATGGTAAATACCAGGTGTTGGAGTGCTGCAAGTTGATGTCTGTGAGCAGCAGTGGCAGTGGCTGGCAGCAAGCGAGTGCCCATGAGCACTGCAGGTGGTGAATGGCAAGAGGCTTCTGAGCCTTGGTTTGGCCACCCACTATATAGGATGTTTTATTAGCCTGAAAGCTTGTCTTTTCATTCCATTGGGTTATCTTGGCTGATCTCCAGCTTTGCTTGACCTTGTTAGAGAGACATGGATAACTCTTTCCTCCATCAGTTGCTTGAATCTTTCAAAGCCGTCTTAGTTACTGATCACACCACATCTTGAATCCCTTGAGGCAGAAGAAGTACTGCCTTTTGTCTGTCCCGATTCTCATTTAGCAGCTTCACTGGATGATCCCAGGTTCTATTGTATTGAGAGAGCGAGAAAGTGACCTCCTATTCATTTTCTCCATGTTATGCATATTATTATAGATGAATATATAATACTATTAATGCTTATGAAAATTGGAAAAAATGGGACATACACATACAAAACTTAAAAAATAACTTGTTTGCTTGATTCCCAGGGAGTCAAAGAAGTGCTTCCTTCCACAATTAATTTATACATCAAAACAGGAATATTGCACAGTTCAGTGCTGCTTTTCAAAACTTCATCTCACAGTTTACTTAGCTTCTTTTAAAATAATCTCTAAGGGTTCTTTCTAGGGAGGGAAAAGGGGTTGCTATTCAAAATATTATGTGAATCACCCCCCCAGCAATTTTGGAATTTATTTTGTGCATATTGACCAACAGGAGTTGGCATCATTTGTGAAGCTGGAATCAGTGGGAGGACAGGAAGCCAATGCAGTGTTTATGCTTTTTATTAACTTAAGGTACTATAGAGAGATGCGTTAATCCACACTCAGTGAAGCATAAGCAAGTGAAATACTCCCTCAAGGATTATTCTGCTTAAAATAAAGTCATTGTAAATTGGCTTTTGCTCAAAAAAGGCATCTCAAAACAATATTTTAGCATTTATTATTTAATGGTTTTCAGCATAAGTAAAATAACTTTTCAGCATCAGTGAAGAGTATGGAGAAGATGCTTCCATGTGATAACAGCATACACAAAATCATTGCTTGGACATGTAAAACTGCTATTATGGATAAGGTCACTTTAAAATATCAGCAAAATACATGCAGAGCAGTTGCTACAATAAATTTAATTTTACAACAGCCTTACAAAGTTATTCACACTTTAGAAATAGAGAAAAGAGTTGGAGATGCTTGCTTCTTTCAGACATTCAGTGAACACATGTGCAGAGGGGAGGAGAGCCCTGGCGGCAGTCTTTAGGCTTGACAATTCTGTGTTTATTTTGAATATCTGCATATGAACATATGCTCAAGCATACTGGCTGTGGAGACCTTAAGCATAAATGCATGGAGGTCTGCATGCGTTTGCAGTCAGGATCCTGCTTCTTCTGAATGCCCTCCTTCCAAAGAATGTCTGAAAGGGGTTCCACTACCACTTGCCTAAGACAGTACAATGGAGTCATAAGAGAAATGAGGGTTGAAGGGCTGTGGCTTAGCGACAGAGCAGAGATTTGCACGCAGAAGATAGCAGGTTCCATCTGCAGCATCTGCAGATGGGGCTGGAAAAATTCCAGCTGGTGGATCCTGGAGAGCCACTGCTGTTCAGTATCAGCAGTACTGGACTAGATGGACTAATGGACTGACAGTATAAGACAATTTCCTATATGTTCCTATGAATATCGGCTTCTGTTGTCTACTGTTTGAACAAATCCTATGCTTTTTCCAAGTTTGAAATATTTGAATATATTATCTGTTTTTGAATTCCTTGCACTAACATGTATGGATTTTCATAGTTAGCTTTTTATAAAGGACGAATATAGCATTATTTATATATATCCTTATTGTAACAACGTTCCCGTTAAATAATACATAGGAGCTTGATAACTGCTTCCAATTATTATTACATTTTTCTATGGTATGTGATACTCCCAAATCTAATTTCTAACATAGTCTACCAGAAAGAAGCTTGGTAATCCTACTGCTTATATGCAAATGTCCACTTTTGAAGACATGTGAATAACGATCTACCATATTTTATTAAACTGCAAATAGTAGTTTTTCTACAATTTTTGTATCTCACTAACACTGCTTTATCTGATAAAAATCACATGGAAAAGATTGGTGCTGAGAGAGAGAGAGAGCGAGAGAGCGAGCGAGCGAGCGAGCGAGCGAGCAAGCAATCTTCCCCTTCTGCTAACCTATGTGTAATTGGTTTTTGTCTGATCGTTTGCATTTTTAGCCAAATGCAGTAAGAGTTACTGAACATGCCTCGGAGTCCAACATCAAGTGAAGATGAGATGGCTCAGAGTTTTTCAGATTATTCAGTGGAATCCGAATCAGACAGCTCCAAAGAAGAAACCATTTATGATACTATCAGAGCAACAGCAGAGAAACCAAGCAGCAGAATGGAGGACACCCAGAATAATATATTAGTGATACGAATTATAATACCTGACCTACAGCAAACGGTAAGCAGAGCTCCTTTTAAAAAATTATTGACCAAGTACATTCAGTTTGCTGAGCTGAAGTGGTCAGTAAAAATATGTTGATATCTTGCAAGGGTTTGTCACAATAAAGGCATGAATGTAACATTTTGAAATATAGAATTGCAGAAGCATACATGGTTGCTAAAGGGAATGGAAATAATTTTGGACACACTATCAATTTAAAAATTCGAATTAAAGGCCTACTGCAGGAAATTGTCATTACCATTGTTGGAAGAGGAAAGAAGAAAGGCCTCCAAAGCATCACCAAAAACAGAGAGAAATATAAGGGTAGAGATGGAGATCTCGAAAGCAGGGCAGTTCGTTTCATAAGTATGAGTTGTTCCTAACTCGGACTTTCATAACCCAGGGACTGTCTGTATATTACTTCACCAACTATTTCAATAATGTACTTTAACTCTTTTTCAGTTGCCGATAATGCTGCATAACTAGATTTCTGAGTGTTTAAAAAAATTCTTGCATGTATCAGAAAATAGTCAAGAAAATGCTTTTATGAAGTTAGTGACCTAAGCACTCAAGAACTTAGTTCAGTACAGGCATAATTAGCAACTTGAGGCTAGATTCCGAAAAACAGTTGGTAAGAAATTAAGGATGTTTCAGACATTTTTGGTGTCACTTGTTTCATTGAGAGTGTATGTGCTTAAATCTTAAATCAAAATCAATTATATGCCAAAACACTTAAGTTTGGCTGAGTTGTACTCTCATTACTGAGGACATTACTCAAATTTTTATGTCCACATTAATGATTTTAGGTTTTAACATTTGCCAGGAGTTAATGATTGCCTTTACTTGGATATGTGAACTGTCTGATAACATGATTAATCCTCGGATAGCAGATTCCCAATCGTCCATATTTGCAATTTGCACATTTTTTGCAGAAGTTATACATTCATCATGATGCTCCTTTGCTGATCCACTACTAGTTACATTATATGTGGCTGTATTTTCTTTTTCTTTTGATTAAAATTACCAACACGGGTTAGTATACATCAAGTTTGAGGTTAGTTTACATACTGGTTCCCAACTTTTTTTCACTTGCATAGCCCTTGGCAGCTCATTTCCATAAATTGCATCTTTCATATTAGCAAAATTAGTGCTGTTACTCAATTTGTTTCTGTATCCCTAAATGTCCTCATTCGTTCCCTTGGGGATACACGTACCCCAGGTTGGGAGTCACTGGTTTACATGAACAGCATGCATGAGCTAGGATATTCCACCTCCTTACTTATTAATATTCTGTTGCCTCAACACTTTTCTCCCAGTAGATAATGTGTACAAAAGTATAGTAGAGACACAGAGCATCCATCTGTGCATTCATTTAATGTAAACATATGAGACTTGTTCATGTCTAATGTGTGAATGAGATAGCCACAACAATAAACTTTTTATTGCTGCTGTTGCATCTGGTTTGACAGTTACATGGATTCAGACCACACGATAGCTCACAATCAAGGGTTATGCATAGGTTGAGTATGGGTTGTTGTTAAACCATGAGTTGTTGTTGAAATGTGGGTTATCATGTGGTCTCCACCCAGCTGCACCAACAAATTATGATGAACAATCCACAGTTCCTAGCAACAACAACAAAAATGAGCTCTTTTCATTTCATGGGTTGTTCATGGTTAATTATCCATGGCTTGTTAGTACATGTAGAGGATGCATGTATCCATCAAAACAAAAGTGGAAGAAGAAGACTCTGTACAGGAGTGGGTTAAACCTTTCAGGCAGAGAAGCCCCAGGAGTTTCATGTGTCCTCAGAGATAAAGGAGATATCTATGATACCTGCTTGAGCCAGGGAATGGATAGCTTGGTTACTAATGCCTGTAGGAAGTACCATCTAGCATTTTCTTTCTGCTCTGAATACATTTGTGATATAGATAGAGAGAAGAGGCCAATTGGATAACTACTTTGTAAGCATCTTTCTGGCATTTCACTTAATAAGAAATGCCATTTACACAGTCCCCTTTACACAGCTAGAAATCGGGGAAGGGGTGCCAGCAGTATTCCTTCTTCCTAGTTGGATTCATGACCATCTGCCAGCTATTTTTGGGCTTATACCTCAACTAGGAACAGCAGTAAACTACGGAGAAATGTTGGGAAGACTGTGGACATCCAGCTGAAGATGATGTTGAATTTGTTTGTTCTGCCTGGTACTTAGCTCAACATGTTATGAATAATCGGGCAAGTGAGAAAAGTAAGGTTGTTCTGGCAAGCATCAGAAGCATTAGATCTTAACTGTTTGAATTCCAAAGATCCCACTTGTGCCTTTTTGAAGTTCCATAATGCCAGTAGTGAATGAAAAGGGGTAGTGATTTGCATGGGGAAAGGTCGATGGATACTGAAAGGAGGACGAGAGGGAGAACAAGCCATGGTGAACCCAGTTGCCAGTTGGTTGCATGGTGGGTTTTTCAGTGATGTAGTTACAGGATGGTTTAGTGTCATGTGCTAACCACTGTGAATACCTGGACTCTGAAAGGTGGTATATTAATATTTTAATAAACTATATGCAGCAGTTCTGAGCTCATTCTATCAGCCAATGAGACCACACTGCTCCTGTCTGATTTATCAAGGCCAGAGTGCTGTACTTTATAGAAGGTAATCCTCTACTTGAAATTGTTCTCTACTCAAAGTGCAGTCCAGTATAAGGATAAAGATCTATGAAAAGGGAAAGCAGTGCCTTGAAGTTGCCTATGAACAATTTACACCCAGACAGCAGATTGAACAGGCACACATTTCACCACCTGGCCTACCTACTCTACTATGGTGAGATGTTTTCTACTTAAATTAAGTTTGCATCTATGCATATAACATTAGTGTATGCAAATTTTAAGCTGTCCACATTTGTCTTCTGCTTTGGTGCTACATTTCCTCCTTCAAGTACATAAATGTCCACCCTAGCTAGTGTAATTGACTGTGATGTGAATTCCTCAGTAGAATCTGCCTGTAATTTGTCTTCTGACCACTGGTCTCATTGGGAGACAGAAAAGACTGCAAGATCCACAGGGCTGCTGGATTGATCCTAGCAGTGACTGTCAAAGATACCAAGAGCTGAATAATATTTCCAGTGTTTCTAATTACAGACTGATCACAGACTGATCACAGAATCCACAACTGCATTGTGCATTCCAGATGCAATTTTAGCCTGCCACTGAAAAATAAATTTTCATCCTGACAGCCAGGCATTTCAAGACCCAAATACTTGTCTACTTCTGTACAGCCAGGAAATTGGTTGTCATGCTGCAATCGGTGCTTGCTAAGAGGCTCTGTCAGGTTCCCTTTATGGTAGAAGCTGTGGAAGGATTTGAGGGAGAGTTAATGTACTGCTCTGGAGTGAAGTTGGTGACCATCACAACCTGGCTATGTCATCAGATCATTGTTGTGGTGCTTCCTGGGTCTCCTCGAAACTTTCCTGTCTGAGACTCTGATTTTGACACATCTTAGAGACAAAGTCTGTGTGTATTTCCTCATAGTCATTAGGGATTATATACCGACAATAGTTTAATAATGCAATATGCCTTTCTCCATCAGTCTACAAATCTTCAGGATTCAACGTGTGCCATATTTTAGAAATGTCGATGCCTGTCTACTCTTTTAATTTCCCAATTTCTTACAACTCAAGCACAGTTTAATGAGTTGCACTTATAACACAATCTCATATGTCTACTCAGAAGTAAGGCACATTGAGTTCAGTGGGACACACTATCAGGTAAGTAGGTACTGGATTTCAATATGATTAATCATTTAAAACACTGTCTAATTTCTGTACAGTATGTTTTCAACTCTCTTTGTTCCTTAAATCACAATGGCTATTACTGAGCAACTATCATACTGGAATTTAGTGGCCACACACTTTTTCTGCCATAGTGGTTCTTCAAGCAAGAGAAAAAGTCAGGTCACTCACTTTTTGTACACCAATTTTAAAGATTAAGTGTCCAACATACTGAAAAAAGTGTTCAGCTCTACTGACATGTCTGCTGACACTGGGATTTTGCCCTTGGATACTTGTCTTTAGCCTTGCAGACAGTAATAATACTTCATTCACTGAATAAAACAACCTGTCCTCTCTGTGGGTCGGAGGTCTAATTTAGACACATCTAACTTCAATGTCAATGCTAGCAAATATATTCATATAACACTATATTAAATGGACTGTCTTCCTGAGGGTTAATAGCGCTGTTCAGTATGCATGCCAAGATGAAAATTATATTTGAAGAAGGTTGAAAATAATTTCACATAGGCTAGGAATTGACAAAATGTTCCTCTCCTACATGTTTTTGGCTTTTGTAAGGGGAAGCAGGCAAGCAGCTTTTGTGGGGAAGATCAAGACTGAGAAGAGAAGACGGGGGGGGGCATGGTATCACTCAAAGGCTGTCACAAAGAGGAAGGTCAAGATCTCTTCTCACTGATACCAGAGTGTAGGACACGGAATACTCAATTTAAGTTGCAACAGCCCAGATTCAGCAAAAGCTTCCTCACTGTCAGAGCAATACGACAGTGGAATCAGCTGCCTGAAGAGGTGGTGGGCTCTCCCACACTAGTAACATTCAAAAAGAAAATAGACAGCCATCTGAGTGGGATGGTATAACATGGTGTCCTGCAACAGCAGGGGGTTGGACCCAATGGCCTTCATGACCCCTTCCAACTCTACTCTTGTATTATTCTAAATAATGCCCCACAAACCTCATTTTTTAAATTGCAAGTGAAGTCCCTTCTACAGATTTTCTGCACAATTAGATTATATATATGGCAACTTGTGCAAGGCTTGCTTTGCTTTTTATTTTTAGCATATTGAAGCCTCTGTGTGTATAATTTGAAAACTTAGTTGTAAATATTTCTCTCAATTGCCATGGGTGGCTAATGATTTTGCTCGATCTTAAAAAAACCTTATTTTTCTTTATGAAAGGAACACCTGAGTGTGCAGTCTAATCATTGCCTGCTGTGCGTGTAACTCAGAGGCTTGCATGTATCCCATGCCCTGATTGAGATGCTGCAGCAATCTTGGCCACAGCTGATTTTTTCCTCTAGAGAACTGTTTGTGGCCACCTTGATAAAATACTGGGGAAAAGGAAGAGGCTGAGGTGCTGATAAGAAATGGTGTAAGTCCTTAGCCCCAGCCTTTCCTGCTCCTTGTTCCCCAGAATATCTCTTTTCCTTCAGAGGCATATTTGTGACCTTTCAGGGATGTGCAGACACATCCTTTGGAGTTCTGTCTCTGAGATGGTGGGGAACTGGGAATGTATATAATCTTATGGCTCCCAACAGTTGCAGGAGGCCATAGGATTATGCCCTTAGTTGTTTTATATATGTAGCTTCCGTGAAATGCCAGGATAAATTTCCCATTTGATTTTACTAAAGAAATCATGGCAGTAAGTAACATTATTATGTAGAATCTAATAACATTTTTCCTTCCATCTTCCTTCAGCAATTTGATATTCCTAAATGTTTATTTCTCGTTCATTTTGTCTTTTTGTCTTTTTGTATTCATTTTGTATTTTTTATATCTCAGAATCTATTCACATACACACTGTATGCATGTAGATTCTGTATATGTGTTAAGTACTCTTTTAATGCAATCCTTAATTGCTGATCCAAGATTGCTGTTATCAATCTTCATAGACTTAATGATAATATAGCAATTACAATGAGGTTGCAGGATTGTCCAGTTCACCACTATCCTAGTGTTAAATAGCTGAGACAATATTACTTCATACTAATAATACTCCTTCTATGGTATTCTTTGAAAAGTTGCTTATGTTGCTAAATTTTGTACATAAGATGGATAATACTTTCACTAACTTGTGATACGTATAAAAGTTCTAATTGGGTTATGCGCATCATCAGTTTAACTTGTTCCAGACTTTACAAGTATCCTCACAAGTATATTTGCAGTCTAGAGGGTTTGCAGTGTCTTTAATGATATATCTAATATATACTGGGTTAGAAAGTATAGATACAGAATGGTTATAAAAAGAAGGATAGATATTATGAAATATTTATCTTAAAGCAATAAGCAAAATTATCTGTTTAATATAATGCAACAGGAGTTGTATTAAATAATCAAAATAGCTACTCTTCTGGTGTAGAAATGCTGATAGTATCTATATGGATTATTATTGCTTATGTGTACTGATCATCTTACCTTTTTTGTCTCTCTGCATGTATTGTTTTACAGAAATGTATTAGATTTAATCCTGAAGCTTCAGTGTGGGTAGCAAAACAGCGAATTCTTTGTACATTGAATCAAAGTTTGAAAGATGTTCTCAATTATGGGTTGTTCCAGCCTGCAAACAATGGAAAAGATGGAAAATTTTTGGATGAGGAACGACTTCTTTTGGAATATCCACAACCTGTCAATAAAGGTGTTCCATCCTTAGAGGTAATTTAATGAGCAATCTTGTTTAAATATCTGGAGACTAGCAGCATCCAAGAAAATTGTATAATGTAGTTAACAGCTGATGAAGAAATACTTTGTATGTAGCAAGTTACAAGGTCTTTTTGTGCTCTAAGTTAGGAAAAGAGGATCTGGCAAAATTTTGTCTGAGAAAAAGTGGAGCTCCTATGAATTACAAGAAATATTCATATGCAGTGGCTTATATGATTGACATTTACATAGCAAGGTGTGGGTGGGGAGTTCTAGTACACATTTCAATTCTATTCTTCTTCTTTGAGTATGATGGTAAACTTATTGCATTACCTTAATTGACCTGCAGGAACTAGAAGTGTGAAAACAAATGTCTTTTTATACATGAATGTGTAATTTTATTAGAAGTTCTTTGAATATGTGAGATACCACCTTTCAAAAACTCAATCGATAGCACAAAGATGAATTTTTGCTAAAGGGATATTGTGTAAAACCCTACTAATTTTTACTTTAGATAAATGAAAACAAATAAGTCACAGTTGACTGTTGGGTGCACCATGGGTTATTTGCAGAATAACCAACCTACTGTGGCTTATTGACATGCCCAATGCAGCTGTTGAGTTCACAATTCTCTCCCATGGGGCTGTAGGACATACATCTTACCAAGGTTATAATTCCTGATGACTGTGAGAGACAGGGTAGGGAACTACAGTCACAACATGAAGGAGAAAATGAAAAAAGAGTAAATATTGTAAGGTTTTTTGGGACAGTGCACTTCTTGTATTGCACCAACTTAGCTTAAGCTTATTGGTTCTTAGTTTTGCTGGTTTAGACCAAAGAAGAAACAGATAAACACATGCACCCTGCAATTCAGAAGTGTTTCTTTATTACCGACATGTGTTTCTTTATTACCGTCATTCTAATAGGTACCTCAGATTTATTATTTGAGACAGTTTTGGGATTTAGCTCATTGTAGTACTATGGCCTTTCCAGGCGTAATCTCAAATGTAGAGAAAAATGCCTGGACTGTTTAGTTGCTCATTACTCATCCTTAATAGATCTGCCGTGTGGTTGTGTTCCTCTTGGCAAACAGTAGGTGAAGGTAGAACTTCTTGGGGAGAGATTGGGAAAGAAAGGAAATGGTGGAGGAGGACTTCCCCATCTAAACAGAAAAGGTGGAAACTGCAGTGGAGATTTTCTCGTGTCTCCTTCCATATTCAAGTACATAGCTTTACAATTAAAAGGATATTGCTCATCCAATTTATTGAACCCTAGTCTTTTTTCCTGATCAGTACATTCCATCTTTTGAATCCCATCTAGTAAACAGATGTCTATTTTTGTCTTGGGTCACAATGTATAATTACTGGTTTAGGGGAAATTACTGCAGAAGGAGACTGTATGCAGCAACTGCAGAAGAATTTTAATGAGGAATTCTTTAAAGAAAAATAAGATTATTTTAAAGAGTGAGATAAGAATGTAGAGCTATACTGTTTTGAGATTTCAGATAATTATGGCAGCTGATGTACTGCACTCCAAAAGACTAGTGCAGGTATATTTAAAAATATATATGCTCTGGGAGTATAGCATGAAAAAAACTTGCAGCTCTCCCTTATCATTAATCTTTGCTGAAGTAGCCAGAGCTGTTGCCCCTTCTGAGCAGATACAAGTTTATTCTGCAGCTGCATATTCTTTCTTACACTGATTTCTGATCAGATCAAGATGGATTGCTGTCATCAGGTTAGAGCTGGAACTCAAAATTGGCTAGGAGCTCCAATCTCTTTACTTCAACATGCAGGACTAGGCAAAGTAGAGCCCTTTGGAAGGTTTGGATTACAAGGTTTGGATTACAACTCTGATAAATCCTAGAGGCATGGTTGATGATTAGTGTATTATGATTTAGTTCTTTTGAAAATAGTTACTGTAACTATTTTTTTTTCTCCAACCTATTTCTGAAATAAGATGTAACATTTGAAAAATCTCACCTTTTCAGTTTCGGTATAAGAAGAGAGTATACAGACAAATGAATCTTGATGAAAAGCATCTAGCTAAGCTCCATACCAAGGTATGTCCAATTGCAGTGCAGTCTTGGGTATATTTCATTGACTTCTAATTAAAATCTTTTGATTTGAATAGCAAGTTAAATAAAATGCAACACAGATTGCGAACTGAGTATTGCTAAAATCTGTGTGCATTTATTTATTAATACAGTGGTACCTCGGCTCATGAATGCCTCAGTTCACGACCAAATCAGGTCGCAAACAAAAATTTCATTAAAAAATTGACTTAGGTCGCGAACTCTGCATTGGGTAGTGAGTGCGATCATGGCCATCTCCCCCCCTCCTTCGAATGGGGAGATGGCTGCGATCATGCTGGGGGTGGGGAGGAGATGGCCCAGATCACGCCTGTCTTTCCTGAAGGAGCGCACCCGTGATTGTATCTGTCTTTCCTGTAGGAGCGCAACCGCGATTTTGGCCATCTCCCCCACCAGCACTATCGCGCCTGTCTCCCCCCCGAAAACACCTGCACTTGTGTCCGTATCTCCTCCCAGTGAGCCCGCACTTGCGCCCCTGTTCCCCCCAGAGCGCCCGCGTTCGTGCCCGTCTCCCCCCCTCCAGCGCACCGGGATGATGGGCGTGTGCAGGGATGACAGGCGCGATCTCAGGGGGGCGAGGAGATGGCTGCTCTTGTACTCAGCATGGGGGGAGGGAGATGGCCGTGATCTTTGTTGTTCTTTGTCACTTTGTTTTAAATTTTTCTGATTAAAAAAATAATTACAGAACAGATTAACCTTATTTACATTGACCCTTACGGGGAAATTTAACTTGGCTCACGACCAATTTGGATCATGACCAGAGTCCTGGAACAGATTAAGTTTGTGAGCCAAGGTATCACTGTATAATGAATATGAAGTGAAACAGATAGAGGCTATTTAATTAATTTATTCAAGATTTCTCAAATATTCTGACAGATTTCTCCCCATGATATCCTTATTTAGATAACATTTTCCACTGGAAGTGTACTTGCTGAGAGCTCAGAAAACAGGCTATATGTTCACTCATTCTCCCAATTGGGGGTGGTACTCTTAACTTGAGAAGGTGCTGGCAGGTCAGCCACTATAGACACTATAGATAGTATGTTGTGCATCCGGCTTGCATCATACATTTGCACCAAAAACAAACAAGCTAATGTAAGTATATTTCTTCCAAAAGAAAAGTATGGGTTTGAAAATAATCTCAGAGAACAGAAGAGCCACAGATACACTCTTTCAGACTTTGCCAGCTTTGCTTGTGAGGCATGCTTTGCTCCTAGCAATGCCTTTCCTTTTAATTTGTCATCTTATTATTTAGTTCATTAATTATAGACCCTGCCCTATTCCAAGGACTCTGACAGAAATGAGAGAACCAGATGACATACCTAATACCTTCCCCAACCTGGTGGCTTTCAGAGGCATTTGGACCACAACTTCCAGAATTCCTATCCAGCAGGACCATTGACTGGGAATTCTCTGTGTTGCAGTCCAAATGTGTCTGGGAGGCACAAGGTTGGGGAAGGCTGGTGTAAATAGAATTTCTAGATCAAGTAAATTTGAACATGGGTTATCTCCTTTGCCTCGTGTGTATTTCGGGCAAAAGCAGTTGTACATGTATTTGTATATTCAGATATGTTTGCTGCTTCACATAAAGCTCAATATTTGACCTTCTGTATATAAATATAGTTCCCTCCATGCCAAAGTCCTAAAATCAAGGGTGTAAGAAGAGCCCTGCTGGACTTGGACCAAAGGCCTATCTAGTCCAGCATCCTGTTCCTCACAGCAGGCAATCAGATGGCCATGTCAAGGCCAAAGGCAGGACAGGAAGGCAATGGCCACCTCTGTTCCTCAGCAACTAGTATTAAGAGGAAGGCTGCCACTTATCCTGGAACTAGCATATGGCCATCAGTAGCCATTGATATCTTTAGCCATCATGATTTTTTTAAAAATTTCCTTTTTAAAGCCATTCAAATGGATAGCCATCACCACATTCTTTTTCCAAAGGCATGTTCTTTGAGGTCATTGCAAATGCACAATTTTCAAACTATATTCCCCTTTACAGTATGTCCTGAAAGACCGTCTACTCTAATGAAACATTGCAACCTGATTTCAGTTGTTGTAAGATGGCATGGCAAATGTGTTTTAAGTCTTTGTGCATGTATTTGCAAAAATGTTTATATTAAAAGTCTGGTGGGACTGTTGCCTACTTATACACATGCGTGTGAAACATATCTTGTGTGTTTCTCATTCTCATTAGAGAATCATGCAATCCAAATGTAAGTGGGTGGTAAGTGGTACTTGTGAAGATGTGCAAAATCTTTACTGCACCATATACTCAGTATGCACAATTTTGTAAATGTTTGCACATTTCTGCCCTGAGAATTTTCCCCCTTTAACAAGATTTATATTTTATGGTGATAAGAGTTTGCATGATGTTCTTTTCAGGCTAATTTTCGAAAATGTATGGACCATGTGCACCACCTCTCAGTTGAAAAACTAACAAAGATGCTGGATCGGGGACTTGATCCTAATTATCATGACTTAGAAACCGGAGGTATGAATAAAAGCTAATGCAGAAATTACGAACATATTTCATTAAAGCAAGAAATGCTAACTTGTATGAAGGGAGAGTTTATAATGATAATCCTTATATGAGGAAAGTGTTATAAAATGCCATTTAAATATGAATTGTAGATTTTTAATATTTTTATCCACTTTAGAAACCCCACTAACTTTGGCAGCCCAACTTAGCAATACTGTTGAAGTGATCAAAGCTCTGAAAAATGGAGGTGCTCATTTAGATTTCAGAGCCAAAGACGGCATGACAGCTTTACACAAAGCAGCTAGAGCCAAGAACCAAGAAACCCTGAAGGTAAATTCTTTTGGAGGGATACTGCATGTTGTTTTATAGAGGAAAAGTGTATGAAGGAAAATACTCTTGAGTTAACTCCCAGTGTTCTTAATGTAATGCTCAGAGGTTTGTGTCTTAAATTTCAAGACTAGCTTTTGACAAAGAATTCATTATGGTAGAAATAAAAGCAGAGGTGAAACTTTGCCTTGATAACTGACAGATGATGTAGGAAATAGGAATATACAATAGCTGCTTATTAGACTTATGTCATGGAAATCAGTGAGTTACCATTGTTAATCTTTAGCAGTGGTTTTTTTCTCCTTGTCCTTCAGGTTTATTCTTCATTAATTTGATTTGCTTCTGTAACTTGTCAGGATTTGAAATCTGATATGTTGTGCATAGTCACATTATAACAGAGACAGTGGTTCCAGATTAACATTGATTAAACTGTGTTGGTGTAAGTGAACTTCTCTACGTTCCCTTCTCACAGCAGCTTCTCCATATCCTTAAAAAATGCTAAATCGAGAGTCAGGAGATTGCTAAATTATGTCAGCAGTAAGATGGTGGGGAATGGAAGATCTCAAATAATCAAGTGGAGGGACATTCTGTAAGCAAAGCCTCTTTGATTGAAGAAGCTTTCTTTCATAGAAAATAGACCCTGGATTTAGCCCATATAAGTGTGAATAGATCTGGAAATACTGGTCTTTTGAAAACCTGCATTATTAGAAACTAGAACATTAAACAGTATTATTGATCTACCTCAAAACATTAGAAACATTCTTCATATTACCTCTTACCATGTGACTTTCCCTACAGATTAATTAGCTTTTGTAATAAAAGAAGAACAGATACATGAATTATTCTTTCCATGCCACCTTCACTCACATTGCTTAAATATATTTACCTGGAAAAGAATCTTACAGATTTCTTGGGAATTGACCTCCAAGTAAATGAGTTTCTATTCGCTATTTGCTATTTCTATCTGGTAGCCTAATCTTAAATATACATTAAATTACAGAAGTATTCACACACACACACCCTTTGAGCACCCTTCCTTTCAATTCCAGGTTGTACCACAACAAAATGTGGAAAAGTCAGTGTATAATTCTGCCAGGCACTGTACTTCCAAGTAAACATCTCAGTTCCTTGTATGATGAGTATGGTTCACTGTATTCAATGAGATTCATTCTTAAGTATACTCGTACACATAATTGCATGGTGTGCATCTTATGAATATGTATTGAGAAGATTACAGTTGTTTTGCTATCAACTTATATACTCATATATTCTTCAAACATTAACATTTATGTACAGACCCTATTAGAGCTTGGAGCATCTCCCAACTATAAAGACAGCTGTGGACTGACACCACTGTACCACACTGCAGTGGTTGGAGGGGATCCATATTGTTGTGAGCTGTTACTTCATGAACATGCTACTGTTGGTTGTAAAGATGAAAATGGATGGCAAGAGATACACCAGGTAGGAAAGTCTTAAAAGTGTATGATTTCAGTAAGAGTTGTTTCTGTAATCTATAACAATCTAGTGGATATAAAGGAAGACTTTAAACAGTTATGGTTTTGAGTCTTTTGAATTAATGGACTTTTCAGAATGTTTGCTACCTTGGAGGATCAACGCGTGGGTTACCCTGCCTATTTCCTGACTGACCGCCCCCCCCCCGAAAAAAAAACAACAAAAACAAAACGCATGACAGTTTTGCTTCCACAGTTCCATTATTAAAGTCTTGACAGTTGGGACTATACAACATCTATCAAAAGACAGTCTCAACAATAAAATAGTTTAGCTGCTGCTAAAACCAGTCCTCTGTACCTTTTAGAAGCTCAGTTCCTATGGTGTTATTATCAGGTTGACAGAAACAAGAAGAATATAACTAAGGTATTTTAAGCGCATTATATACATAATGAGGTAAAGTTCAAATAATAGGATATAATTGTTTAACTGTTCTAAATTACATAACACATAATTACATAAGTTCTCATTGTTTTCCCCTCAGACAATGCTTCCCTAAGCATTCCCACCAGTCCATCATATCCAAGACCATATGTTGTTCAGCAGTTTTCCTATCACTCTGCTTTCTAGGAATATTGCATTTTAGGACCTACTTGCTGAGGTCATTTCTGCTTAGAACTCTGTGTAAATCCCTGAGCTGCTGACCTTTTGTACCTGCTTGGAGCTTCATTGCAACCTTACAGTTTCCTGATCATCTCAGTCTCTAGCTTTGGTATTTAAACCTCCACACTGAATTCCATCAGGGTCAGAATACTAATCATGTGAGCGCCATGTAATTGACATTTGTCCCTTTCGAAACCCGGTGAATAATGCTATCAAAAAGATAACCTGAGTTTTGGCTTTTACATTTTCATGCACACCTAGAGTCTTAGGAAACTCCCAGTGTTCTTAGGAAAGAATGGAAAAGGTATAGAACAATGAGGTCCACACACACCAAAACCCTATAGGATCTCATTGGGAAGCAGGTGATGTATTTGCTCCCCAATTTTGTGAACAAGCTTCCTGTCACAGCTTTGCTTCTTATTTGACAGTTCTCTTCAAATCAGAAGCAAAGCAACAAATTAACCTAGCCTTGCTTTGTCCAGGTCCATGGATAGTGCCCCCTGTGCTTTGACAGGAAACATCAAACAGAATGTTGAAGAGTCAAGACTATGCATTTGGGATAGTTGGATTTGTCAACCTGTGCAAGATCCAAAAATTAAAAAAACAACAACCTTGGAAACATGTCAGGCACCAAAATAAATAAATAAAGTGGTGAACTACTGACAGCTGCTCCAGTATACCACTTGGGCATTTGGAGAGGGTTACTAAAGGCGATTACTTTGGAGATTAATAAAAAGCTGTCTTCAAGAAAAAAGGGTGGAAAACAAAACATGCCATGGTGATTGCAGAAAGGGATGTGGTTAAACTTGGTGAGATGGAACCAGTGACAGTCACTCCAAAAGGACATGAAACAAGAGAAACTCCTACAAGTTTTACAGCTGCAAGGACACACACTTGATCTTCTTGGTTTGCTAACAGCATACTATTTTACTGCATGGTAATTTCATTAGTTTTGTACTGGGACTACTGTAGAGCAGAAAGCTATTTCAGTTAGAGAAGAACTGAAACTATTTAGCTTGCATTGTGTTTTATTTAATGTTTGTTGAAAAACATCTGTTTTGGATGATTTTTGGCACTAATTTTGAAAACAATCATATGGCACCAGTGTGGTCTTTTTCTGTGCCATTTTCTTCCTTCTTTGCCCTTGCTGTTTTCAGCTTCATTTGATCACCCTACTATTAAAGAAGAAAGAGGTTGATGCCAGGAAGGAACAGCAGTGGTCAGCAAAACAAAATAGTGCAAAACAATATTAAAACAGTATAAGTGCTCCATGTAGGAAAGCTTTTTGAATAATTTCTCCAGTTGCATCAATCTTCTGCTTTCAGACCAAATGGATAATATATGGTACAGCTTTCTTTTAAACTACTTTGTTGTTTTCCCTAGCTTCTCATGGGTTTACTTTTCTTGATAATAAAACTTGATTTTCTCAGCAGAATGAAAAAAAAACCCCAAACCTCATTTACGTGGGTAAAATGATGCAGATATATCAAATGAAATGACATACAAAAATAATGAGATAACACACAATTCTGGACACACCAGATGCTGTTTTCATTTTCTGTACTGCAGTGAAAGATGATCCAATGATACACTTTCACAAGTTCCTGACTTGAGCCCTTGTGCGGTGACTGAAAATTATGTGAAGATACAAGGGTTATGTGTTGCCTTTCATTACAAATGGCTCTCTGTCATGTAACACCTGACTATACTTCAATACTTAGCAGGCAGAAACATGTTTGGTTAGAATAATAGAGTATTCTGAACCTTATTTCATCTTAGTGCTTCTAGTGCCCTCTTGAGCCACTCAGTGGCATAACACAGTATTCATTAGGTTATGTGAAGGCATGCTCAAAATGTCTCCACTGCTTTTAGCGCCGCAAATGCTATTAGTCTGGAAAGTTCATATGCCCAAATGAGTGCTGACCTGTTCTAATCAGTGCTACCTTACTGTAGCGAAGGTATTCAGAAACAGTTTCACATTCCTCATTTGCTGTTTCTCCCACC